GGACCTGGACCTGGGCCTAGCCACCTGGCCCTCTCACTGTACGGCCACCTTCAGCCACTGAATCTGCAGACGGCGGCAGCTGGTCATGCCGCTGGCTGGGTTGTGCCCGGTCCAGGTCTGGTGAGAGGTCCTGGCCAAGCAACGGAGCCTTCAGGGGGCACTTGCAGAGCTTCTGGCCTTTTATCATTGCGGTTTGAAAAAGTAGCCACAAGATACAGAGTCCAGGAAGCACATTCAGAGACTTTAGACAATCATAAACTAGTTGCGCCACAGAAAGATGAAAAGTCATGTTTTCATTTCAAAAGGGCTGGAGACGTGTCCGCGGCATCCAAACCTTGACTGGCTGTGCCCGCCTGGGGGGTGTGCCCATGGGCAGTGGGTACTGGGACCTCAGGGCCCAGGTTTCCCCTCTGTGGACTCTCTAGGAGCCCTGCCTGGGCCTGCCCTTGGACAGTCTCTGGTCCCTGGGGAAGGAGGGGAGGGAGGCCACACCTGAGGGGTCTCTGCAGGACATTCTGGGCTCAGGCGGGTATCTGGGGGCAAGGACAGGGAGGGAACGAAGGGGGTGGCTCAGGTGGGGGCTGCCCTGCTCCCTCATCTGTGTCGTCCTCCCCCAGCCTCCAGGGCTGAGGTGTGGGAGGCCCACGGGGAGGGAGCCCAGAGCCGCCCACCACAGGCTGAGGCCTAGGGTGGCCACGAGTAGGAGGAGCACTTCTGACAATTGAACAGCCCGGAGCCTCGAAGCTACGGTTGGGGCCTTCAGCCCGGAAATGGGCCCCCCTCTTTACCCCCTGACGAACCAGTTTCCCCTGTTCACGTGTGGGTGTTTGTGCCTTTTTTAAAAAAGAAAATAAAAGATCACACTATTTAGGAATCCAAACCAGGCAGACCAACAAGACAGGACAAACCCTGGCTCGGGGCAGGTGAAGGCAGTGGGAAGAGGCTTCCTGGAGACCAGATGGGGTGCGGGGAGTGGGGAGGCTCAGTTCTTGGTGCCTGTGTTCATGGTGGGCGGAGTCTCCCTTGGCGTCTGAAACGGCCACCGGTGCATATGACCTCCCCCTGCATCTCAGGCCTCCCTCCCGCTGTGCCCACCCTGCACCCTGCTGCCAGCTGCTTCAGCATTCAGAGCCCGTGACTGGCGTGGCAGTGGCGAGCCCTCCATGGCTGTGTGGACGCCAGAGGCTGAGGGAGGACACCCGCTCCGTGGTGGGACAGCACGCCCGGGTCCACCAAGACCAGGTGGACGCTGAGGCTCCAGGGCCTCGTGGCTGCTCCAGTGGCCCCGTCACCTCAGGAGACAGGGCCTGACTCTGCAGGACAGCACCGGTGGGGGACGGCAGGTCCTCTAAGGGATGTGGGGTTCTGAGCTGTTCGCCTCAGGACCCTCAGGAGCGGGCAGGTCGTGATAACAGGAGTGGCTGCATGTGGGCAGCCCATGGCTACAGCTTCCAACGGGCATTTCTAGTGCCCTGGCCAGATGGCCGGCCAGCAGGGGCCATGGTGCCGCCGCACTGTAGCCTAGCAACAGAGGAGATCCATTTTCTCATCAGGTTAGCCGGGGAGTAGAGCAGGGAGTCAACCCAAGTCCCTCCACGCGGAGTGGGACAGGCTGTGATGATGCCCAACACAGCAGCTGGGTCAGCTTGGCTTCCAGGAAGGGAGCCCCTTGGCCCGCCTGTTGTCATAACTGAGAGCCAGAGAAAGGGGCCCCACAGGCTCCGGGGCCCTGGGGACGCAGCTGGGTGGCTGTGTTGTGTGGTGCCGCCTTTCCAGGATCCCTCGGGATTGTTGAGCCATGCTCTTCCCCAGCTCCCCGCTGGCCTTCGCAGGGATGATGTGCTTGTCTGTGTGGGGTTTGCTGAGGGAGTTTGTGGTTAACATTCCCTTGTTGAGTTGAATGAGGACCCCGTGTTCTGCGCTCAGCCCAGGAACACTCAGAGGGGAAGGTGGTGGGATTCGAAGGCTGCTTCCTCTGCGAAGTCAGACTGGGAAGGTCGATCTCAGGCCTCAAGGCAATAGGGTAGAAGGACTTCAGACTGGGGTACTCTCCTGTGTCACCCAGGTCCCGCGCACCCCCAGGGAGGGGTCTCACCTGTCTTGTCAGCTCTGCTCTGTCGAGAGCCGTGGACCCTCTTCCTCCTTAGCTTGGGTCATCCCATGTGAGCTCCATCATGGGCCTCCCAGCCGCCCCATCAGAGCCAAGCGGTTCCTCAAGGTCCTTCATGATGACATGTGTCCTCCGTCTCTAGCAGGCCTGAGGCCGCACTCACCCCAGGAGGGGCCGAGGAGCTGCAGGGAAACTGCCAACCGCTGCTCCCTGTGCCTCAGCTTCTCCGCTCCCTCCACCAAGGGGAAGAGGCTGCGCCGAAACCCTGGTCCGCGCCGAAACCCTGGTCCGCGCCGCTCATGGTGCCGTCTGGGCTCACAGACTCCTGGAACAAGCCATAGTCAGGCCCTTTACACGGAGCTGGGCAGGGGCTGGGGAGGAGGCCTGGATCCCTGGCCATGCTGCTGGAAGACTTGGGTGACACCAGGGTGCTTTCTGAGAGCGCAAGTACATGGTGAGTGTCCTTGCCTGTATGTGTGTGCAAGTATGTGTGTATGTGTGCACATGTGTGAGTGGTCGTGTGAGCATGCATGGCAGAGCTGAGTATGCATATGCCCTGTGTGTGTGACGTGTGAGCATGTATGTACATGTGTGGGCTTGTGCATGTGAGTATTCACACATGACGTATGGCATAGCTGAGCATGCGTTGCATGTGTTCATGTGTGGGCAGGAGTGAGCATAGATAGATGTGTGCATATGTGGGTGTTCGTGTGTGAGCATGTGTGTATACATGCATGTGTGTGTGATGACATGTAGGAGGCTCATGTAGTAGCTACCCTTGCCAGGTGCTTCCTGGTGGGAACCAGATCCCAGGGGCTGAGCTGGGGGGCCGTGGCAGAGCTGCACTAGGATTTCCAAGAGGTGAAATGTGTGATGCTGTGGAGGTGCTTGGAGGTGAGGGAACCCCGATGCGGGACAGGAGGCTCTCAAAGCACTTGGAGGTGGAGGAGTCCTGGACAATGGACAGGAAGGGTGGGGTCAGGAGTGCAGTGGGCAGGTGAAGGTTGGAGGGAGCTGGGCACCCTGCAGATGGCAGGATGGGTGCTCAGTGCGATGGGGCTGCCACTATCCTCCAAGTGTGGCCCCGAGGACCAGAGCTGCTGTCCCTCCATCGCCGGGTGTAATCAGTTCCTTGTGCCTGGTTTGCCCAGGAGCTGTATGTGAGGGGTGTGAATGACCCTCTGAGCACAGAGCCTTTGGGATGGGGCTGGGGGCGTCCCCACCCTGACAGTGTGGCAGGGCATCCCCCACAAGTGGAGCCCAGAGTTCCCTCCCCGAGAAGTGCTGGGGGAGGAGGGGGCGGTCTCTGGAATTTCTGTTCGGAGACTTTTCGGAGGCGTGTTTAAGCATAAAATCACATCAGCGGCAGTCAGTTTTCAAGCAAAGAGACTATTCTCTGGGCATCTCTAAGACGAGTTTAGACAGTGTGGGGATTAGTTTGGGGAGCAAGGCCTCGCCGAGACGCAGGTGTTTGCTTGTGGAATGCCTGCGCCTGCCCTCGAGAGGGATGTGGCGCTCAGCTGCTTGAAACGAGGCCGGGTCCCAGGCAGCCCAGCCCTGCCCTGTGGGAGCAATCAGCCGCTGGCTGTAGCATGTCCTGACCTGGGGACAGCTGGGGACAGGTTGTGAGGCTGTTTCATCACAGCTGCTGTCACATCTGACCCCAGCCCTGGGGGAGGGTGGCTGCGACCCCAGCCACACCCACACAGCCTGGAGGAGGCAGGGTGACGAGGGACTCCAGCTGGGGGAGCGGGCGTGCAGAGTGCTGCGGCGGGGGGGATGGATTGTGGGGTGAACACTGTGGGTATGTGCGTGTGAGGATGTACACATGTGTGAACATGTGTGTGGCAGCACGTGTGTGCGTGTGAGTGCACGTGTGTGAGTGAGCATGCCTGTGTAGACTGCCTGGATTCCATCTGGCTCCATCTCTTCCGGACTCCGTGATCTTGAGCAGGGTCCTCAGGCTCATGCCTCAGTTTTCTTCATCTGTGAAATGGGCTGATGGCCGGGCTGCACACAGATCCTCAGAGGGCGTAAGGCACACTCAGCACCCACTGCTGTGCCCGGGCAGCTGGTGGGGGCACAGCAGCCACTCACATGCCATTCACAGCCCTGTGGGTTACCCACTGCCTGGAATGTTCCAGTCTAATCGGATCCTTTTGTTGACGGGGAGACTGAGGCCAGGAAGGAGGATGCATTCCTGCCCTGGTGCCAGGCTCCACCTCTGCTGGGTCTCCTGGGCAGAAGGTCAGGAAGGGCTGAAAGGGACACAGTCCAAGACAAGTAAAGCCCCAGCTTCGAGGGGAGGCACAGTGGCTCTGAGGGGGTCTGAGCCCCCCGAGACCCTCCCTGGGATGTTTAACGACTTGGGCAGCCATTGCAACAGTGGAATTGGCACTGCAGCAAGCTGAGCATTTTTTCAGTTCCAAGTTTCCTATAGCACAATGGCTCCGGGCCAGGCACCTCTGGGTGTTCCAGGCCAGAGTGGGAGCAGGGGCTGGGGGCCGCTGCCTCAGTGCTTCTGGGATGGGGTCCTGGCCTGGAACCCCAGAGTCTGGAGACTCAGCAGCCCTGCCCGGCCAGAGCCTAGCAGAGCACATGGGGAACCCCGCGGACATGCACACACTGCCCCTCTGTCCTCACGGAGCCTGGGGCTGCTGCAGGGCCGTGGAAAAGAAGTGGAAAATCCTTGGGTGCTGGAACCCTCGGGTGCTGGGCACCTTGATTCCAAGGCTGGTGCCTTCTTTCCTTCTGCAAGAGTGAAGGGTGGGAGACAGAACAGGCCAGAGGCTGGGAAGCCTGCATAGGGGAGGGCAGGAGGGCGGGAGCCCGGCTAGCCCCACCTCCAGGCACAAAGGCCCTCCCGCCGCCCTCGGCTCCAGCGGCACAGCCCCGATGGCTCCCGACCCCAGCGGCTGCCGCGTCCTGCTGCTGCTCTTCTGCTGCCTGGCAGCTGCTCAGGCCGACCTGCTGAACCTGAACTGGCTTTGGTTCAATAATAAGGACACCAGCCAAGCAGCTACCACGATCCCTGAGCCCCAGGGGCTCCTGCCTGTGCAGCCCACAGCAGACACCACCACGCACGTGGTCCCCCAGGATGGTTCCACGGAGCCAGCGACAGCCCCTGGCAGCCCTGAGCCACCCTCGGAGCTGCTGGAGGACAGCCAGGTCACCCCCACTTCTGCCGAGAGCCCGGACACGCCAGAGGAGAACATTGCCGGTGTGGGAGCCAAGATCCTGAACGTGGCCCAAGGCATCCGGAGCTTTGTCCAGCTGTGGAATGACACCGTCCCCACTGAGAGCTTGGCCCGGGCGGAAACGCGGGTTGTCGAGGCTCCTGTGGGCACCCTCGCCCTCCCTGGGCCTTCCAGCACCCCCCGGGAGAATGGGACCAGTCTGTGGCCCAGCCGTGGCGCTCCCAGCTCTCCGGGTGCCCACATGACCGAGGCTGGCACCCTGCCTGCACCCACCCCATCGCCTCCCTCCCTGGGCAGGCCCCGGGCACCACTCACGGGGCCCTCAGTGCCACCACCGTCCTCAGGTAGAGCTTCTCTCTCCTCCTCGCTGGGCGGGGCCCCTGCCTGGGGAAGCCTGCAGGACCCAGACAGCCGAGGACTCTCGCCCACCGCAGCCGCTCCCAGCCAGCAGCTCCAACGCCCTGACGTCAGCCTGCGCACACCACTTCTGCACCCCTTGGTGACGGGCTCCCTGGGCGCGCACGCGGCCCCCTCTGCCTTCTCCTCTGGGCTCCCGGGCGCACTGTCTCAGGTCGCAGTTACCACTTTAATCGGGGACAGCGGTGCTTGGGTCTCCCACGCGGCTAACTCTGCGGGGCTGGGTCTTGCTAATAACTCTGCCCTGCTCGGGGCTGACCCTGAGGCCCCCGCCGGTCGCTGCCTGCCCCTGCCGCCCTCCCTGCTGGTCTGTGGCCGCCTGGGCATCTTGCGCTCCTGGCTGCCCAATCACCTCCACCACGAGAGCAGCCAGCAGGTGCAGGCCGCGGCGCAGGTGTGGGGGGGCCTGCTGCGGACGCACTGCCACCCCTTCCTCGCCTGGTTCTTCTGCCTGCTCCTGGCCCCACCGTGCGGCAGGGTCCCGCTGCCCGCCCCACCACCCTGCCGCCAATTCTGCGAGGCCCTGCAGGACACGTGCTGGAGCCGCCTGAGTGGGGGCCGGCTGCCTGTCGCCTGTGCCTCGCTCCCAACCCAGGAGGACGGGTACTGTGTGTTCATTGGGCCGGCTGCAGGTAACTGGCCGGCCCCGCTCTCCCCACCCTTTCCTTTTTGCCTTGCCAGGTAAGCGTGGTCAGGGCTGACGTGAGCCTGGTACAGGTTCCCCCCACACTGAGTCTGTACGGTCAGGGGCCCGTGGCCCCCGGGAGGCGGGAGAGCTGGGAGTGAGGCATCCTGTGCGGGGAGGAGGCCAGCGTCTGGACGGGAAGAGGGTGGATGAACCACAGCTGATATGTCCAGGCGTTGCCTGGGCCTGGGGCTTCCTGGGCATTTTAGCACATTTAGTCCTCAGCACGGTCCCGAGATACCCTGCCATGCCCTGAGTCACAGAGGGGAAACTGAAGCGTGGGGCAGTGGCGTGACTCACCCCAGAGAGCCGAGATTCCCACTCAGGTGCGGCTGCATCGACCTTGCCCCGGTCACTAAGCTGCACAGTTCGACCCGCTTCCTGGGAGCCTTAGCGTGCTCAGGCCAAGGGTGCTGCCGTGTGGGCAGTGCAGAGACCCTCACCAGGGTGGGGACCAGGGAGGTCCGCAGGGCCTGTCCTGAGAGGAAGCCTTTCATGTCCCACCCCCATCATGAAGCACACAGCCTCCCTGCCACAGTGGGGGCCGCTCCTGGGCCCAGGGGACGTTGCCCCATCACCACGTGGCCTGGCCCTGTTGCTGGCTGGGCAGTTGGGGGGCAGGAAGAGGAGGGAAGGGGGAACTCTTTAACCTCCCGGGGGCAGGGGCAGCCCAGGAAGGACCCCAGCAGCTCCCTCTTCTGTGTCTGGGGGTAGATGGAGCCCCTGAGCTGTGCCTGCCCCATGCAGATTCTGCCTGCTGTGTGCACCGGCAGCCTTGGCCCAGAGGCCCCGTCCCCACAGGGCGAGGTGCTCTGTCCTCCCCATAGTGCCGAGGGGAAGCAGCCTCGGTCTTTGCCCTGTGGGCTTTGGGACAGGGTTGGTGGGGATTAGCAGCTGTGCCGGACCTGGAGGTGGGGGTGCCTGCAGTGGAAATTTCGGTGGACGCCCACCTGCCAGGCTCCATGAGGGATGACAATCTTGGTGATTCCCCTCGAGTTTCAGGCCAGTGACCATTTCTCTCAGCAAAGCCCAGAGCCTCTGCAGACCCTGTGTGGGGCCCGGGGTGTGGCCGGGGGGCCGCAGGCAGGGCAGGGACAAGTGCTGACAACAGGTGGTCCCAGGAGCAAAGCCCACATGGGCTGGAATGGAGGGCCAGGCAGGAAGGGAGGGAGGGCTGCAGTGGGGCATGGCTGAACCTGAGGCAGGTACAGGAACTGTGCTAGGGGGGCGTGGTGTGTGCAGGCGTGGGGGCCTTTGTGGATGCGCCCCGGAAGCGTAGGGCTGGAGCTCTCCTGTGGCAGGGGCTGTGCCCATGGCTGTTGGCATCTCGGGGCTTAGATGGTACCCCCAGGGCAGCTGGCACTGCCACAAGCAGTCAGATTCCTGGGTCCCACTCATGCTCCGTCCCTGGAACACCCAAATGCCAAGCAAGCACCAGCCGCCTTGCAGGCAACCCCCCTAGGGCCACACCCCACCTGGCTACTGGTGGCCAAGCCTTGTTCCCCACCCAGTGTGTGGGTAGGGCAGCACTTCAGGAGCTGTCCTGCCTGGAGAGACCCTGGTCCAGTGTCCTGGAGCCCCGGGAGGCTCGAGCACAGCCCACCTTGTCCTCGGAGGCAGACAGGACAGCGGCGGGCTGGGAGGGCTGCGGCCTGTGGGAAGGGAAACGCCAGGCCCCGAGGCTGTCTGGGATCAGCTGAGCGCTCTGAACAAACATCGGCCTCAGGGAAGGTGCTGATCTCCTGGGAGTCAGTGCAGCGTGGCTCAGGGGCTGGGGTCTGAGTGGGGCTGTGAGGGCGAGGAATTTCTGTAACTGCAGCTGGCCCAGTCGGTGGCACAGCCTGAAGGGGACTTTTCACTGAACATCTGGACAGCTTGATAGTGTCGCCATGTGAGGGAGGCAGTGTCCCTCGCAGGGTCCTGGGGGTCTCCGTCGGCATTCGTGGCCTACATTGCCTCTGGCCAGAGGTGGGCCTCGGGCTTCATCATGGAGTCCCTTCCCAGGTGTGGCCCGGAGGGTCCTGCCCCCTCTTCTGGCCTCTCAGCTCCTCCCCGGCCCAGGCTCCTCTTGGGTGAGCCCCCACTCCTGCCGGGCCCGCTTGTTGGGCTGGACACTCCCAGCCCTGGGTGAGGGGCAAGAGGAGGAGGGGGAGCCCAGCCTCCCGTGTTGGTGCCTGACCCCTCGGGGCAGGCTGTGAGGCCCTGAAAGTGGGGGTGCTGGGCTATGATCCTGGCACCAGAACAGAGCCCTCGAGGCCCACAGAGGGCCCTGGCTGCATCTCCAGGCCATGGGGTCAGCGAGTATGAGCCCCTAAGGGGAGGGGAGCTGGAGGGTCCTGGTGCCTCCTGCCTGGCTCCATCTCCAACGCCCCCTCCACCTGGTCCTGGGCACTGCCCTGTGTGTCCACTGCCCCGGCACACCTCAAGGAGAGCGTGGGGGGCAGTGCAGCCATGCTGGGGCATGGGGGCACGCAAAGGGAGGGTGCACCTTGTGGTCAGCACACAGGCAGGGACCCTGTGGAGTGTTTTGCCCTGTTGTGGGCTTGTCCCTCAGGCCCACAAGGAAGGGAGTGAGGCCCCCACGCAGGGGAGGGCCGGAGTGGGGTAGGGAGGCTCCCCCGCTGCAGGTGCCAAGAGTGAGTGAACAGGGCTTGGGCTTGGGCTGCCGGGGACACTGCCTCCAGGAAGCCCCCCTGGGCTGTCTCAGTGGGACTCTATGAGTGACACACGGAGCTCAGGCCACAAGGGCTGTGGGAGTGTCACCCCACGACAGCAATGGGTGCCTGGCCCTCTGGACTCTGCTCTCTACGCCCCTCCTGAGCTCTTGCAAACCCTGGCCCCTGGGACCGTAGCAGAGGCAGGTGATGTTTCCAAGGAGTCCTACAGGCAAGCGTTCTCTGACCTGGGAGGTGGGTATTGTTCCTGTTTACGGTTGAGAAACTGAGGCCTAGGAAGGACAGACACGTGTGCGTGCCACGAGTGTGGCAGCAAGAAGGGAGCCTCGAGGAGGGCCCCACAGCCTGGCCCCAGAGCGCTCTTCAGCATCGCAGCAGATGCAGGACAAGCAAGCCCCCAGCCGGGGAGCACCAGGAGACCAGCAGCGTCCACCCTGATGGTACAGGCCATCTGATGAGGGGCAGGGACCAGTGCCGGGGTGGATGTTGCCTATGCATAGACTGGGGCGCACCCAGGCACAGCTGCCACCGGGGTACTCGGGAAGCAGATCCACACACACGCCAGCCAGGTCGCTCATCTCCAATGTACGAGTCCCATGATCTTGGCAAGTGGTGCACAGGTCCCTGGGCTGGGGCTTCCTCTGCCTCCACCCCCATCACTGGACATTCGGAGGTCAGTGGGAGGCCATGGGAGTGCACGTGGAGGTCACATCACCATGATGGCTGTGAGGGGCTGCTCCTTTCTTGCTGCTCCCTACCCTGTGGGCCAGCAACTGGTGCACAGGTGTCCTTACACGGTACCTACCTCTTGCTCCTTTAGTCAAATGCAGAACTTGAGAAAATTGATTTGCTTGACATTTCCATGTAACTTTGGTTTAAGAAGGAGAGAAGACCACTCCATGAGAAACAGCTCATTCTTATCTCTCACCGCTTGGCAACCTATAAATATTTTTTCGATGATGCTGGCTAAGCTTCTCATAAATTCTCCATGTCTCTCAGATGCACCAAGAGTGACTCAGCATTTAACTCCTACTGGAGTGTCAAGAGCCCAGTGCATTGGGTTCAGTTGTCTGTGGGTACAAGATCTTGTGTGATTCTGAACCAGGCACAGACAGAATGAAAAGCACAGCACTCCAAACAGGACTCCCTGCAGGTCCTTACATATATTTGGTTTTTGTAGATATCTAAAGTCAAGCTAGTGGGCGTCTGTCACTTCAACCAGTTACCGTTGTGAGTGTGGTGAGAACACTTAAGATCTATTCAAGTTTGAAGTGCCATATGCACTACAGTATTCTATCTGTAATCACCATGTGGATATTAGACCTCTAGAACTTACGCTTCCTGCATAACTGAAACTTTGTACCCTTCAACCCACAGTCATATTTTCTCCTGTCCATGGGCTGGCCTGGGCTGTGCCCTGTTAGCATTCCCAGATAAACAAAAGCTAAGGGAGTTGATTGCCACTGGACCTTCCCTGCAGAAAATGGTCTGGTAGTCCAACAGGTGAAATGAAAGGACACTACTTAGTAACAGTAAGTCAAGGAGGCCCCCGTTGCCTATGCACAGAGTGGGGTGGCAGCTGTGCCCCGTTGCACCCCACTCTGTGCATGGGCACCATCCATCCTGGCACTGGTCCCTACCCTTCATCAGATGGCCTGCACCATTAGGGTGGATGCCTGCTGGTCTCCTGGTGCCCCCCTGTTGGGCCCGTGCTTGTCCTACATCTACTGCAATGCTGAAGGGCACTCTGGAGCCAGGCTGCTGGGCCCCCTTCGAGAGTCCCTTCTTTCTAGCCATATTTGTGGCACACACACATATTTGTCCTTTCTAGACCTCAGCACCTGACAACCACCATTCTACTCTGCTCCTATGAATATGACCTTTTTAGATCCCACATATAAGTGAGATCATGCAGTATTTGCTTCTGTGCCTGTCTTATTTCTTTTAGTTTAATATCCTCCAGGTTCATTCATAAGAAGTGCAGTTACAAACTGTTGTTGCAATACCAGCTTTTATAATTGTCCATGTATTTACCTTTATTGAAATCTTCATTTCTTCATGGGACCTACTGTTACTGACTAGTGTCCTTTCATTTCACCTGCTGGACTACCTGGACCATTTCCTGCAGGGCAGGTCTAGTGGCAATTAACTCCCTTAGCTTTTGTTTATCTGGGAATGCCAATTTCTCCTTCACTTTTGAAGGACAGTTTTGCTGTATATTGGACTCTTGGTTAACAATTTTTTTTTTCTTTTAGTACATTGAATATATTGG